ATTTAGAGATTATGTATGGCTTAAAGAAGTTTGTATTGATGCCAAGTTGACAAGGCATGGGTTGTGTGTCAACCAGAATGGGCCATTATTCTCAGTGTTTTGGTAGGCTATGATGTAGTTTAGCAGTTCTGGAATGATGTAATCAGTGTTATATAATGTCATATCATAAGACCTGATTCTGATTCAGTGTGATAATTTCCCTGATGAAATCTGTGATGAGCAGTCTGTTAGTTGAAATGGGCGTGCATCCAATACATGTAAACATTTTGGCAAAACTCTATGGCATTGTGCTGTGTCTTGATTCTGCACCATCATTTAATCTCTGCCTTTTTTCACTTTAGTCAGCAGCTTGCCTTATTGTCTGTTGATCCTGTGATTTGTTAGCTTCCACAGTCAATAGCTTGTTGTCTGATATGTTAAACTGGTGTTCATCATCCCCTGCATGTTCGTGAATCCAGAGAAACCTCCAGCCTGACAACTAATCCATGGATTTGGAAGTTGCTAGCCTCTTAAATCATATGAACTATTTCCTTGAGATTAATCTTTATATATGTATATATGAGTGGGCTAGAAAATTTTCATGAAAACAGGAATTAAAAGATAATGGAATTTCCCGCAAACTTTTTGAAGCCTCCTTCTAAATAACTAAATGGAAATTAGTCAAAGAATATTTTTGACTTAGAAATGTTCATACATGCAGGGGCTTATAATAAACTATGTTCAAACCTGTCTCTGTTATTAGGGGATGGCTACAGACAAGTTCTCTCAATTACGCTTGTCATATTCTCATTAAGGTGCTTTCAAAAACAAAACAAAACAAAGAATGGCTTCCAAATGCATTTACTTAGCCAGTTACATTTCAGACAGAGAGGTATGGTGACTGCTTTTTGTGGAATTCAAAGGAGTCATCTTGATATATTTTCTCAGAGGACATGGGATGATAATGGGGGTTTATTGGGAAGAAATTTAAGAAAACTGAAAGATTCATTGGTGAGAAAAAGGTCAACAAATTACACTGAGGAATTGTTTCCTATCAAGACAGTATACTTGCTCATTCTTTTAGGAAACCAAGGGCTGTCCTACAGGAGTTTTTTGGGAAAACCTTACCCAATCCATCCTACCACCATGATCTTGTCTTTCCAATTTGTTTTTGTTGTTCCCAAAATTCAAAAGGATTTACCAAAAAAACCCCATAATTTGAGTCCTTTGGGGATGTCAAAATCACTGTTTTGATGTGTTGTAAATCAAAGAGTCAGAATTCTTTGGGGAAGGATTAGCATGAAGGAAACACTGCCTTTAGAAGTCGTTGTTGTTGTTGTTAAGTGCCATAGACTTGGTTCTGACCCATAGCAACCCTGCTGAAGGTTTCAAAGGAGCACAAACATCTAAGTAGAACATATAGCAAGAAACAATAGCTTCATATATTATGTTTTTGTTTAATGACTAGTAGTATGATATTGCAGCAATCATGTTACTTACCCTCTTATAAACTTCACTGTTTTAGCTTTTCTAAGACAAAGTAAATGAGGCTGAACTTTGGTATTTCCCAGTGATTAATGTTTTAACAGAAGGATCTGATAAAAGGCAGTCAGTTACTGAGAAGGAGAACTAGACAGTCAAGTAAAGATAGTCTTCAAGTATAAAGGATGTGTTAAATTGGGCTAAATGATACTGATTGTTGTTTTTCAGTACCTTTGAGTTGGTTCAGACTCCCAGTGATCCTGTATAAGGTTTCCAAGGGGCAACTGGTGAGTTTGAACCACCAGTCTTGCAGTTCAAAGTGACTTTGAGGTTAAGTTAAATAAAATGAGGACTGAGTGTTGACCATTACGTTTTTCAGTGGGGAATTAAATGGCACATGGAGGCAAAAGTCCAATCACAATGAATACCAGAAAGAATGAGAAGGAATTAATCAGAATCAATATGTTTATTGTAATAAGAAGTAGAGAAATGGAACTTTAGCTGGAGGGGAACGTGATGTTGAGAAAGCTGTTAATATTTTAGACAGCAGAAATGGCAGCAAAACTCTATTTGTCATGATTGCTGTTGGTTTTAACTGCCATTGAGTAATTTCTGCCTCATAGCAACCCTGTATAGTGTTTCTAAGGAGCAGTAGGTGAGTTTGAACAACCAACCTTTCAACTCACACTGATCTTGGAGTCCAGTGCTTATCCAGTCATGATTCAGAGGAGTAAGAAAGCTGATGATTCTCAACAAAGACGCAAGAGTGGCTGAAGCACTCTTGAGTATGCAAAGGGGGCACAGGATACAGTATAAGTGGAGGGGTTGGCCTGAATGTGGGGAAGGTAAGTGGCTAGATGTAGTGGTAGAAACTTCTGGACCTCTCTTCGAGTGGCTATTTTATTGTATTTTGTCCTCAATGAAACAGGAAGCAAAGCAATTGTCTGACCCTAAATATGGGGCAGAAGTGTTAAAGGTTTAAATGTTCAATTTAAATTAAATGAATTCCTCCTCATGGAAAAATCCACTGCATTTTGATTATTTTTCTCAAATCTCCATAGAAACATTCCTCATTTTGGCACTGCTATAAGCAAACAATACTTTGATTTCAAAAGAGAGAGCGATATCTATACGTTTAAAAATGTCAAGGATCAATTAAGACACATATTATTAATATAAAATAATTTATCCAATATGTCTAACTATGAATGGGAGAGAATAGTATATATTACTTGAGTTTACCTAAGTCGGCAGTTCAAGCTCACCAGCTGCTCCTTGGAAACCCTATACAAGGTCGCTATGGGTCGAAACCGTCTTGACAGCACGTCACAACAACAACAATGTGAACAAGGAGACTTGGTGTGGTGTTGGAGGATAAGCACCGGACCGCTAACCACAAGGTCGGTAGTTTAAACCCACCAGCCACTCGTCAGTAACATCATCCAGGGTCACTACGAGTCAGAACCCACTCAACAACACTTGACAACAACATTGATAACCATGTGAAAAGAAGGAGCTTTCATGGCAGAGTATTAAAATGCTTAGTTGCTAACCAGAAAAAGGTTGGCAGTTGGAATCTGCTCATTCCACCAGTCATTCCATGGGAGAAAGATGGTGGCTGCCTATTCTGCAACTATTTATGGCCTTGGAAACCCTGTGTGGCTTTTTTATTGTCTCCTATCCACTGGACAGTGCTTAACAACAAAAACAACAGCATAGGAATGCTAATGTGGGTCTGTGGGGTAAAGAACTGGACAGCAAGGTCAGTTTGAACCACAAGGTCAGCAATTCAGTCTTACCAGACACTCCTTGGAAGCTCTATATGGGTAGCTATGAGTTGGAACAGATTGGACTGCACTTAACAACAACACATTGTTGCTATGAGTCTGAGTCTACTACATGGCAAGGGACTTTTAATAGGAAGAATCATCAACTCTCAGAAGCCTTTAAGGATGTTAGACTCTATTGAGGAATGAATTGGGTAACTGAATTACTAACAGAATAATGTAGTCAAAGAAATACATAGAACAGGAGCATAAAATGTAGGCATAACAATCTTTACTGAATTTTAGATAAAAGCAAACTGAGGCATGTTGTTGTTGTTATGTACCATTGAGTCAGTTCCGACTCATTGCCACCCTGTATTGGGTTCCCAAGGAGCAATTGGTGGATTTGATCTGCTGACCTTGTGGTTCTAAGTACAGAGCTTATCTTACAGTGCCATACCAGGTGTCCAAACTGTGGCAGAGAGTTTTTTGTTTTCTTGGGTCTTTTACTTTATAGTCACCTCTTAGTACCTACATGGTATATACCAGGCCCCCTGGTACATTGTGGATTTTGATATACCAGGACCCCTGAGTCTATCACAATCCACAATGTTCAAGTCTCTTATATGAAATGGTATTGCATTTGTATATTACCTACAAACATCCTCCCATATGTTTAAAATCATCTGTAGATTACCTGGTGTGGTGCTGTAGGATAAGCACAGGACTTCTAACCACAAGGTCAGCAATTCAAACCCACCAGCCGTTCCTCTGAAACCCTAGACAGAGTCACTATGAGTCAGAACTAACGCCACAGCACTTAACAGAAGCGGATTACTTATAATACTTAGTACAATGTACATTGTATGGAAATAGCACTTTAAACTCTCTCTTAGACTTTGAAGGATTGCTTAGATCACTTACTTTGCCTCACTCCTTCCCTCCATATTTGCGATCTGCGGTTGGCTGAACCCACAGATGTGGAAGCCATGTATATGGAGGGCTGACTTTGCCTACATTTGATTTGTGCATTTTATTTTCCCAGGATTATTGCTTTAAGATGTTAATTAAGAATGTAATTTCTTTTTATTACAAAATGAAAATAGGTCCAAGCAATTATTCTGTTCTCATGTGGTAGCCATATTTGTGTATGCTTGTTGTATCTTTTTATGCATGCTTGTGCTTTCCCGTTGGCTTAGATTTTGTGTTCCCAGCAGCTAGTTGCTCCAAACCCAATGGCAAAAGTTCTGTAGATAACAGATCTCCACTTAGTTGGAAATCTAGGTGAGGAACAGAAGCGTATTATTTTCGTTACAGAGCTGTTTTGCAAACACAAAAACACACTTGTTCTTGGCCTCTGGAGACCATAATTGCAGTATTTGGGAGAAAAAAAAAAAAAAAAAAAGAGTTATGCTCTTGGTTTTGCTTGACTCTAGTTTATTTATATACTTACCTGATTTTTATATACTTACCTGATTTCTGCACATCTTTAAACACATAATTTGGAAAGAATTTAGTGACAGTGCAAAAAACCTTTTAATTGCATTTCCTTTTTCTCTTCATCTAAACTAGTAGCAGGAGTTACTGGAATGCTTCACAAACCTTACATTGAAATACAGTCAAAATCAGTGCAGACCCTTGACTGGTTTAATCTTCACTTGCAAATAACAATGCAGTGAAACCAGAAGAAGAAAAAAAAAAAAAATGGAAAAAAAATTACTTCCTTTCCTATTGTAAACCTAATATGTAGTTAGTCTGCCCCAGTTTTCAATAAAAAGAGATTTTCTGATGACCCAAGAGGAGTGACTATCTCTTGTCAAAGAAAGGGGAGGGTGAATTTAATGTTTCATGCCACTGGAATGGCAGCTGCTCTCAGCTCTCCCTGCTTCTGTGCAGGATGAGGAAGACAGAACTGGCTTTTCAACGTAGGGAGAATTTTCCTTTTGAATATTCTAAACGGGAGCTTTGCACATGTGCCTCAAGAACTAATTGTCTAGGTTCCGTCAGGAATGCAGCAGGAGAGGAGCGTATTTCATGCTTAAGACCAGAGAAGAGCCACGCAATACTCAGTGGATAAAAGGCTTGCGGTCCCAGCTGGGAAAAAGAGTCCCATTATCTCCCAGCTGCATAGACATTCCATACGGCTTGGTTCTGCCTGGATGCACAGCATGCCTGGCTGAGAGCTTGAAACAGAGTTCTGCAGAAAAATTGTAAAGATCCCGAGACATTTGCCTGGTAAGATCTGTAAGTACAAAATTGTGCTGTCTGCTGCAATGAGAACATTGTTGGGCAAGCTGCAGCTTTTCTTCCTTTCAGTGTCTTTGTATTAGCATAACAGGTGAAAGCTGGGGTAGAGGGAAAAGTCGCTACTCTATTTATGTTGTGTTTCTATGATGTTGATGTTTAAAGTAAATTTATTCCTTGTGAAGGAGAAAAGGCATTGACTCTATATTGGGGTGGGGTAGGGGGGAAGGTTTGGATCAAACCAGGGAAAGAGACTACAGGTATATATTTTCCGTGTCTCACTTGCTCTTTGCTGCAGTAAAACTAATGGACAATACGGGATGACAGTGCTAATTCTGGTACTTTCAGATGGCTTCATGCCCTTTCTGTGAAGGCTGAAGGGAAAATGGGATTGTTATGTATTTATGAATTTTTCATCAGAGGTGGAGGGTGTGCAGTTTCCAAGGCTTGATATAAAGCAATAGTTATAAAAAAGTTTTCTGGGGGAGGGTTTTGGTAAGGGGATCCAAACAAGACTGCAGGTAGAATGAGCTCACCAAATTTTGTCTGTCACGTTGTGTATTACCCAGCTTGTAGATAATAGCTTCTGGAATTGCCTTTGCCATTTATAATAGTTAAGCATGTCAGTAAAAAGAAACCTATAATACTTTATGAAAAGTTTTGGAAGTTGATGTCCTGGGAACAAAACTTTCAAGAACTCAGAGATTAGCCACGTATAACCCATTATGTTAATGGGACACTGTCTACATTGGGGGTTTGAAGGAAAATTGGAATTCATAGTTCTTGCTTCTCCAAATGAAAATCACTTATGTTTAAATAATCAGCATCGTGACTATTTCCTCTGAGAAACATTCATAGAATGACTAAATAGAAGTTATATATAGAGAAAAAAACAAACAGCAAAACAGTAGCATTACACAGAATCAATTTGGAAAATGAGGTATTCATAATTTCATCTACTGTGGCAATGTTTTACAAACATCTTTGTAAAAGAAGGAGCCATATGTTGAATATGGAATTGCTTGTTTTGAGCATTTCTCATTTATCTGATGGATTTGTTTATAATCTTTTTTTATTGCTGTTGTTGAAGGTTTCACCAATTTATGTGCGTTGTATTTTAAAAGGATAGAAGATATTTAGATAATCTGTTTTCCATCCCACAAGATACATACAGGCATAAACATACACAAATGCACAAAGCAAACATATAAATACAAAAAGACTGATAACATTTGTATACCCAAAAGACATAGACATTTCATCTATGATACTTTACTGATCATCTTTTTTTTATTTTTTAGCAACAATCATGGCTTTGTTGTCTAAAGATTTCAAATTCATAAATCTATAAACTTTTATATGAAGCTATATAAATGCATAGTTTATCACATTTTTGCAGGAAAACCTATCATTTATAAAAGTTGAATGATTTATAAACATTGCATGATGTTTTAGCATTTCTAATGAAGTTCTAGAAGATTTGTTATTAGAATTCGGTATATGACTTTTCCTTTATTAAAAATAGTCATTTTGAAAATTATTGCATATTTGGTCCAAACTTAGACAAAACACAAAATCACATGGAATTATCTTCTGGAAAGAATGTGAAGTATGTTAAGTTGTTAGCATGCTTTTTGTTCATTTTTGTTTTTGACAAATAAGAATTATAAAAGTAAATTTAGACCCCTCTAGTTCATTTAATAGATTCAAGAAGGATGGGAAATATTTGCTTTTATTGTTTACTTATACATTTGATTTAAGATCATAGTAATTAGAAAGTAGTAGCATAAGATATTATCAAAAAGAACTAAAGCTAAATATTAAATTTTTAAAATTCCTAATACCCATAAATAACAAGCATAGGAACTGGAAACATCGTTGGCGACATTCTCATGCCTAAATTTAGGTTTTAAGAAAGTAGATGATTAGACAAGTAGATAGATAGCTGTACTTTAATAACCATGGATTTTGCCATGGTTATTAATTTATTTTATTTTTTATTTTATTTTATTTTTTACAAATAAGTATTCAGTTCATATGATAAATGATTGATAGATGTATTTTATAAGAATGAAAACATATTATACGCTGTTAAAATACGTATTGGATTTAATTATAGATAACATATAGAGATTAAACTCAAAGAAATTCTACTTAAGTAAAAGTGAAGAAATTGATAACTATCAGGTACATGTGTGTTTCCAAAAAGAATATTGTTGTTAAGTGTAGTTGAGTCTTAGCGACGCTGCATAAGGTTTCTGAGACTTTAAATCTTCACGAGGAGCAGAAAGTCTCATTGTACTCCCACTCAGTGGCGGGCGGGCTTGAACTGAGTCCAGTGTTATTGTATGGAGCCACCAAACTCCTTAAATGATATTAGTTCTAGAAAAAAATCATGTGAGAATTAAGAACAAAAGTTATGAAAATAATTCAAAGTCAGTTTATTAGACTGCACGCTTAAATATTAAATATTTTTTTAAGTTGTTATGATAGTTAAAGAAATTAACAGTTGTATTTTATGGTTATCTGTCTTGCCCATATTATCTAAATTTGAATTCTATTATCAGTTTTACATGATTGAGATTTATAGCATTGCCTTCAGGTTTAATTCCCAGGTTGAGTTTAGACTTATTTTAGTATTTAAAATAATATATTCCTTATCCACAGACGTTTACTACCCAGTTCACCATTCCTGTATTTTTTTTTTTTTTTTTTTTGAGATTTTTCTTGGATCATTGAATTTTGTTATTCCATGGGACCTCTCCACCAGAGAGAAGTCGCAGTCTCATGTTTTCTTTGTACTTTTATACTTGGGAATTTCTTTCTTTAGCTTTTTACATGGAAGGTGAATAATCTTTGTTGACTTAAATTTATTTTTCCCCTCAGAGATATAGACAAATATTTGTAAACAATGCTGAGAAATCATCCTTTATTAAATGTTGCTGTGGAAGACTCTGAACTTTGTCTAAAACTTCCATCCATGAATGTGCTCTGTTTTCCTTTTCTGGTGGATGGACACATGATTTGTTCTTTTTCACCAGAATGTATTGGAGAGTTACTTAGAGTTTATCAGTTTTTTTCCTGCATTTGATTTGTTGTTGTTTTCAAGTGCCTTCAAGTAGGTTACGCTTCATAGAGACCCTGTAAAGGGTTTCCAAGGAGCAGCTGGTGAGCTTCATTCAACCGCTGACCTTGCTGTTCAAAATGACTTTGCAGTCTAGCGCATTAACCCATGCCACCTCACCAGCACTCTGCATTTGATTTAGCCCATGGATTTAGGATTTTTAAATTTCAAGGTTACTTTTTTCCTTGTACCTTGTCTTGGATTGCTGAGCTATTCCTTCGTATTTCAGGGTTACCACTTAAGGAAATGTTGGGAGCTCATTTGTCTCTCTTCCATAGCAATCATGTTATACAAATCTACTGTTCACTTTATACATTATAAACTTGAATTCTTCAAGGTGGTCTACCGTGTCCCCAGCAGTGCCTTTTCTCCTTCCAACAATGTGTGTTATAATATTATTACTTTTAATATAGCTTTCATCTCTTTAATATTTTTATTTTCCTATTTATTTTATTCTCTTTTTCTTTAGTCTTCTGACTTTTAAAAGTTTTATTAATAATAGGTACAAAATTATGATGTAGAAATAAAGTCTCTGGGTGGTACAAATAGTTAACATAGTGGACAGCTAACTGAAAGTTTGGAGGGTTGAGGTAGCCTACAGTTGCCGTGAAAGAAAGGCTTTATGATCCACTTCAGAAAATTTAGCCAAAAGAAATCTGTAAAGTACTTTTCTTCTCTGACACTCGGAGGTTGCCTTTTTTTTTTTTTTTTTTAATGAAGACTGTTATTTGTGAAAAAGGAGCTCTGGTAGCGTAGTGGTTATGAATCGGGCTGCTAACCTCAGGGTCAGCAGTTCAAAACAGCCAGCTGTTCCATGGTAGAAAGATGAGGCTTTCTGCTCCCGTATACATTTACAGCCTCAGAAACCCTGTACAGGGTTGCTATGAGTCAGAATCTATTACACAGCACATAACAACAACCATTATTTGTGAGGAGTCATGGTGTGGCTCTGTAGGATCAGCACTGGACAGAGAACCACAGAGTCGGTAGTTCAAACCCACCAGCTGCTCCTCAAAAATCCTACACAGGGTTGATTTAAGTTGGAAGAGACCCTACAGCACTTAACGTTATTTATGACAAAATCAATTAAAACAGTTGTTAGAGAGAGAGAAGGTAAGATAGAGCATCTTCAGCTTTAATTCAGATACGCTGTTTAGAATACAACATTGACAAATTAGTTATCTTCTCTTAAGGGATACTTATTTTCCCAGTGTTTAGCACTTGACCAAATGGAAAGGCTTATAGTAACTGGAACACCATTAGGACAGAGGGCTCTGTGTTGTGACCCTGTAGGTATATCTTTCTCCCTTTCAGCACCCTCTCTAACAATCTCCGCAGGAAAAGCTAAGAAAAAGTACTTTTCAGTTTTTCCTGATGCACCTCCTAGAGTATCGTATTTTTAGCAGCATTTGGCAACCATGTAATTGTGTTGCAATGTTTTTGCTTTGAGGTTATGCCCAAATATTTAGTGGATTTCACTTGTTGCCTTTCACTTGATTCTGAATCCTGTCAACCCAACGAGTGTAAGAGAAGTATTGTGTCTTGTAGGTTTTTTTGGCTCAATTTTCTGAAATGGCTCATAAAGTGTTCCTTTTGAGGCACCTCTGGGTAGAGTAAAACCTCCAAAACTTCTGGTTAACTGTCAACCTTGTTAACTTTTTTTTTTTTTTTCCTTAAAGACCACGATGTTTTGTTTGGTTGCCCCCCCAGTTATATTTCTTTTACTTCCACTGTTACTCTTATTTTTCTCTTAAATTATTATTGTTATTATTATTTTCCGTTTGAGGAGAAAGGAGTAAAAATCTTTAATGAGTTTTAAGTAGATGTCTATCAGTTTGGGAGAATTCCTTTAAATACAATTTTTGTTAGAAAATAA